AATATCCAAAGGAGATTTACCAGCCTTTAAATGTGGAATGAGGCGACTTGACTTCCATGCCTGGGGAACAGTACCAGTCTGCCAGGAGTCGTTGTATAGGCGTAAGAGTGCCTTCCGAGCTTTGTCTCCAAGATTACAAAGGGCACGATAGGTAATGCCGTCAGGACCGGGTGCTGAAGAACGTCTGCACAGAGCCAGAGCCGCCTCTAGCTCGTCCATAGTAAACTGGCATTACATACGGGGATCACGTGAGGGCGGTGGGTTGTCAAAAGTTCCCGTTCTTGATACTGTGAAATTGGAATCACCGGCAATTCTTCTACAGAAAGATTCTGCGACGTCAATCTCTCTGCATCGAAGGTGAAGTGCCAGAGATGTAAACGGGTGTCGCTGACCCAAGGTTGTGCTAAGACCCCGGACAGTTCGCCATATCAGTGATAGGGGCTTTCGTGGATCCAACGACTCGCAAAAGGATGTCCAACGTCGCTTAGCCAGTTTATCCATGTGCCGCTGCATTTTCTTTTGAATGCGTCGAGCCAGCCTCAAATCATCCATGCACTTTGTCCGTCGGTACCTTCGTTCTGCACGACGGCGTATTGCGCGAAGTTTCTCAAGCTCGATGTCGAAATCGGTGCGCTTGTGACTAGTCAAATGTGTATGCGTGGTATTCTGCAGGACATCCTTTATCGAGTCCTCTAGGTTATATGATGAGCCGTCGGTACAGCAGTCTTCCATTAACATTTTGAATTTCGGCCAATCGGTGTACTTGAGGCCTCTTGAGGACTTGGAGCAGAACAACGCAAAGAACAACTGGGCGAGTCCTTCTGTCCAAAGAGCATAGACACTCTCGTCATCAAAGCCGGCTTCGAAGAAGTCACGTTTTGCAGATCTCATCAGTGGTGTCTTTTACTTTTCGCGAAACATGTGAGATTTCTCTTTTCATCCAGCTGGGCGGTGGATTTTTTGTATTTCTTCTGCCGAGGCGTGAATTCAAGTGCCGAAGACCGCAATGAAAAGAAATGCGGGATGATGTCGATGTTGAGTGAAGCCCGACATTAAAAAAATACGTTAGCCGATGTGACCGTGCAATAACAGCGGGCTTTCTCAAACGCCCTCTTCGTCGCGCCTATAAGAACACCTAGAATGGGAGTTTTGATGCAGGCAAGGCTCCCAGTTTGCGTATAATAGCCTCCTCGGCATGCAGTCAGGTCTAGAAACTGCGTGACACTTTTTAGCTTGGTCTCGCATTAGTCTCTACGTACATAAATTGCGGCATCGACATTACCTAAACAATGACATAGGGAAGCAAGACATGCTCTAGGCGACAATAAAGCTTTCCCGTTGTCGAAGAATGATTGATTGATATGCGGGGTTTAACGTCCCAAAACCACCATATGATTATGAGAGACGCCGTAGTGGAGGGCTTCGGAAATTTAGACCACCTGGGGTTCTTTAACGTGCACCCAAATCTGAGCACACGGGCCTACAACATTTGCGCCTCCATCGGAAATGCAGCCGCCGCAGCCGGAATTCGAACCCGGGACCTGCGGGTCAGCAGCCGAGAAGAAGGATATTTGTTTACCTTTATCGGCCAATTCCGATTTCAGTAGGACACATGCTATGAAAACATTTTGCTTACGCTTCAATCCTAGCATTAGGGAGGCGGAAGGAAGAAACAACGGAAGGACAGGGAGGTCGGCCAGTTCTTAGACCAGATGGCCACCATGTGCTGTGTAATGCGGTAAGGACAGTAAAAAGCAAGAAAGCGGAAAACGACGTTAAGCCGTCTCATATTTTCCTCTCTTTTCCTTCTCGTGCTTGAATCCCAGCTGTGTACTTGTTGGGAGCCAAGGGCACTGCTGACTGCTTGCAGACTATTATAAGAGTCAAGCCATGGCTTTTTGGCGTTTTATGCATATGGCAAGATATTTCTGCCCGTTCAAGCATACAACTGTTAGGCGAGGAGGCGTTCATATTCTTGATGCGCTGTCGTGCCCTTCCGAGGATCGTGTCTCGTGTGGCATATTTCCGCGCGGCCGCAGACAGTGCGTGACGTCGTGTTTCCTCGAGATTACGCTGGCAGTGAAATTTATGACCCGACATGCTGACTGCTTCGAGCTTGTTGTTTCTTTGCATGGCGTGCTTCCTACTTGCGCGGTCGCCTCCGAAACTCAACTTTCTTCCGCTCTCTCGATTTCTACGTTCGCATTAATCCATATCACGAGTTTTGAAGGAATTTTGCTACCTACTCAAATCAAGATTGTTGAACAAACGCCAAGTTTTTGGCCTTCATGAGAGTAGCTGTCGGCCAGGTGTTCATCTTGTCCACGCAAATCGAGAAAAAAAAATATGTTTGCACCGTGCAAAATGCTCGCGAATCCTGGAATGCGAGAATACAATTAGAGCCAAGTCGGGAGAGCAGCAACAACAAAATGAGCTCTTCTACAGCAAAAGCTCTTATGAGATCACAACTTGGGTCTCACGCAGCGCCATAGTTGTCCGCTGCCGCCGCCGGTGTCCGTAAGCACATCGCGCAAAATCAGAAAAAGAAGTACCAATGACACAGTGAGGCTCAAACCCAGGTCCACTGAGTGTCAGTCCAGTATTCTACCACTGAGCCATGCCGGTACTTGGGTCTTGGCAAACTTGCCTTAGGCAGGCTTGATGTCGGGAAAGAAATCGCGTTAATGCAACTTATAAAGCGTTTTAAAACAGCGAAAGAACAAGCAGACGTCGCACCATGCGAATAGCGTAACGAGGGGGTCGTCGAATGCTTCAACCCATTACAAGAGCTTGTTTTTGTTCAGCTAATAAATATGGCGCATACCTACTTCAGCCATGGTTCCTCATCATCGTCAGCCACTGCGTGAACAATTGGCAGAACGTTCCTCCCAATAGTTTAGTGAATACAACTCTTCTCAAGAAGAATGACAAAAAATACCATAGCGATTGTCAGCCTACTACCCTAATATTTTATTATAATGTCATAGTGGGCTTCAAACAAGTGTGCTTGCAGCAGTCACCCAATAAGTGTTTAGAAAAGACTCTGGCTGTGTTCCAATACTCACTGTAGACGGCTAAATAGAGAGCTAAATGGACGGCGGCCATCTTAAGTCCAATTCCAGTTCTCACGTAGCCGGCAAAATAGACAGCTCCGAGAAGACCGCATCGGAGACAAATACGATGCAGGCTACTTTGCTGTCTAAACAAGATGGCGACTCAGCGAATCACTCAGATATGCTAAGGAAGATCAAATCTCGCCGGAATGGTCGTCTGCACACAAGCTGATGCTTCTCCAGATGCTCAATGTGAGTAATGTTTTTTTGTTTTTGATTTCAACACGAAATAAGCCAAAAAATACAACTGTTACTTTTGTTTATTTTAGCTTTTATTTCGACGCGTGGTGGCGCATTGTCGCACAAAAGCCGTCTAAATGTGTTCCATTTCTCGGACAGCATGAGCTCGTTGCTGTCTTCTAAGCAATCTTCGTAGACTGTCTACGTGCTGTCTAAGAATTGGAACACAGCTTTTGAGAGCCGCTCTTGTAGCATGTCTTGTCTTTTGCTGTTACTGTGCTGCACCTTCCGTGCAGGCCTGGCGTTTTTTTCATCTTTCTTCGTGGTTACGTATTTCATATAACGCTGTTCTTTTTGCCCCTCCCCTTTTAAAGTACTGTTGTACTTTGGGAGTATTTTTAATAAATAAATAAATAAATAAATAAATAAATAAATAAAAATTTAGGTGCACGCTGTTTACTAAAAAGTGTACTTTGTGGCAAACCCCGTCCGCAGCAGGTTTGTTTACGTGATATCATCATCCTGCCCCCGATAGTGAAAAAGCATACGGTTTTTCAGCAGCTCGACTGTTCTTTTCGGGTGGTTAGGCTACCTGCTTTCAGAGGCCCATTAAGATATACTTTTTCAGGGAGAAGGGGGGGAACACCTCTTTGATCTGAAGTGGGGGCCGGACATGAAATTCGTCATTTTGCACTCTGTATGGCACAGCGAAAAAAAATCTTGGGAAGGGGGGGTCACAGGCCTGGTGTGCCACCTCTTGGCTACGCCACTGCCTGCTTTTAATACTAAACGAACTTATTTATTACGCTGACTAAATTTTAAGAAGCTTTTTCGCTCGACATTGTGAAGGCGTTGACACTTAGTACGACTGCTCCTGATTATATAATGATGCGGTAACCGTACCGCCCGCTGAGTTGCAGTGTTTATGCAACCTTGTGGTCTTTATCCTTGTGTAGGTTTGTGCTCGGCTTGTTAAGCTTGAACACATTACCGCAACTCCATGAGTGGCTCCTTAAACACGCCTGTAATGTAAACGCTTTGTTGGCTACGCCTCGTGGCAAGCCGCGAAGAACGGCAACATTGCTCTTTGGAAAATGAAGACTAGGCGCTGGTCTTCAGTGGCCGCTCATATTGCTGTCAGCAGGAAAATTGACTTGTGTGCTAAATGACAGCTCAGCCTGAAGTCAAACACGCAAGTTAATACTCGAGGCATTCCTTTCAATGTTGCATTTGAGAAAGCATCGGGGTGCACTTAAGTATTTACTTCTTTTTACTTACAGTATTTCAATAAAGTGTCAACGACAACAGTTGAGCGATATCAAGGCCGTAACTGGGGGGCGTCAAGGAGCTTCTAAATAGCCCCAAATTTTGTTCCTGCTTCAACATTTCGAATGAATGCAAAGTATTTGCACACCTTCAGATTGACCACCAGCTGCTAAAGTTGGTCGTTTTATACATGAACAACCCTCAAAAGAAGTTACTGGGCACGGCTCTGAGCAATGCATTGCGTTGACTAAAGTACACTAGTGGCACCTCTCTGCCAAGTGAAAAGCAGAAAAAAATATTCATTCATTCATTCATTCATTCATTTATTCATTAGTCAAAAATAGCCTTGCGCAGGTGGGAAATCAGATTTTTCTCTGGCTGGCATTTTTCAGTCTCCCTTCGATTAAAAAGAAACTGGGAACTAGTGTAAAATACACTCACCAATAATAATATCACAGGTAGCCTTGGCTGCATGTTGATGGACTGAAACGAAACGGAAAGAAACCAAGGTTAGAGGACGCGTAACAGGCTCCCTTTGTTAGAAAAAAGAAAAAAAGGAAAAAAATAAAGAGAACGAACATTAAGTGCTTGTCTGTTCTGTGCACGCAGTCAGGCGGGACAAAATCTAGCGCAGCCTACAAAGCAACAAGATCCGGGCCATAAAGCCGACACCACTCGAAGGCCGGACGACCAACAAGCAGAAAAGGAACGTGCCCGACAAATGGTTCCGGAACGAGCGTTTTTTTTTTCGGCAGCCTGGCTGGATTTATTTTCGGCACTGGACTCTTCCTTCGTCTCGAAGTATTTATTAAGTTTTTCCGGGAAATAACCTGGACGTGCCCGAAGAACAGGAATTGAAAAAAGACCGGAATGTTGGGAGGCACTTTTTCCTTTTGTCGCGCTGTTTTTTGGTTTCAATATGCATCAAAACCGTCTAGTTTATTAACGAGAGTTGGCAAAGTTGGTGAACAAGTAACACCGTGGAGCTCTCTAGGCAACGCATTTGCTGTCAACAGTTACCCAATGAGTGAAGCAATGAACAACGTAACCGTTGTTCATTCGTGCTGCACAAGTGTGTCTTCGTGTCCGGACATGAAGGACAAAAAGTATCTCGCAGAACAGAAATTTCCAAAATATCCGCTACGCCCCGCCACGGTGGTCTAGTGGCTAAGGTACTCGGCTGCAGACTCGCAGGTCACGGGATCCAATCCCGGCTGTGGTGGACGCAATTCTGATGGAGGCGGAAATGTTGTAGGCCCGTGTGCTCAAATTCGGGTGCACGTTAAAGAACCCCAGGTGGTCGAAATTTCCGGAGCCCTCCACTACGACGTCTCTCATAATCATATGGTGGTTTTGTGACGTTAAACCCCACAAATCAATCAATCAATCGAAATATCCGCTACAACACATCTTGTGGATCAAAGCTGGTGGTTAAGGGAGAGGATAACCACAAAACTGCTGTATAACTGACGGGATTTAGTAAAGCCGGTAATAGGTTACGTCATGACGTCGGCACACGAGGGGCACTCAGTCCTGACGCTAGCTATATGCAACTCGACCTTGTTTTATCCCAATCGAAAACAGGAACGTGCAGCAACGTGACGCGAGGGGACCCACTACTTGAGGAAACAACAGCTGAGCGGGACGAATGAAAGTAACGAGAGGCGTGTCATAATTAATGCGTGCATTCCAGAAACACGGGTATACCACGCCATGTGTGAATCATTGCAATGGCCGCCTCACGGTTTTTTCTTGAGAGGATGTCTCAGCTCGATGGCACCAGTTATTGTTCCCTCGTGGTAGAAGCCGCTAAAACCTACGTTCAGAGTGACCGTAGTATCCGATGTATAGCACATCCAGGATGCGAAAGAGCTGAAAACACACAACACAAACACAGCGCTGCTGTCCGTCTTCTGCTCTCTCCCGTCCTGGATGCACTATACTTCGGATACTATCAATAACCAAAAAGCTCGTCGTTCCACTTCAGTTGACTTGTCAGTGGGATGAGTGCCTGTGTTCGAAAGTATTATAAGCTAATGTCCTCCAGCGTTGTAATGTCACACACTTCTCCAAGCACCCATTGTTCCGTACTTCCCACATTCAGCGACGCAAACGGTGCTCATATGTTTCGCCTCAAATCGCCAATACCAGCCCGTCTTAGGATGAAACTTTAATGACATTTTTCCAACATAGAATTTTTAAAAAGAAGTGGTGGAAAATCTGTATTTAGCAAAGCTTTAAATTCATCGTCTCACGAAGCGGGGCAGGGGAAGTTGAAAGCTACGAAACGCCTGTGCAGTTCTGCATCTAAACTGCCATAATAGGACAAACAGGTGCAAAAGAACATATACCCAATCTTCATGTTCTCGAATAGTTGGATAACTCAATGAAGTACAAGCTTTGAACAAAAGAAAGCATTAACACGAAGAAAGACAGGCAGTGCCTTATACGCAAGGAGCTGCGGAACAACACAGCGCCGGGTTTTGTCTGAATTGAATGCATATAGTGCGCAAGGAATCGGCTTGTGAAGACTGCGGAGGACCCATGGAATGACTTTCAATCAAGTGCACCTACTGCAAGAACTGCAGGGTCGAATTTTCTTCGTCCTGTCTCCGTTTGCCTCATGCAGCATCTCGTTTCGCCATGCAGGTTGGAGCAAAATTAGAAATCTTGTGCATTAAAAAAATAATAAACTGTTGAGCTGTGGGAACATAGTCATTCTTACGTACCACATACATTACACCCCATGGAAAGTTTTGGAGTCGTGTTTAATGGTAACAAATCAATAAAAAATTACAATTTTTATGTTTTTGGTGCATTTGACCCCAGCTTCGCCTACTCAAACTCACCGCCGTAAGCATGTGAAGAATAATTTCTGCGTGTCTACTTTATAATTCCTTTACCCCATATAACCTTGTGTCCTCCTCGGCTGTGCTTTTCATTATCTCAGTGCGTGATGTCACTCTATAACCGGTAGGGTCCTACACGTTATGCGACATTTCCAAGTTGTTCTTGTTCTTTTCAACTCGGTTTTATCTATTTGCTCTCTGATGAACCACATGTTGATGCTGCCTTCTGTTCTATTGGCCGCTGCGTCGTCATTAACTCTTCGAGTTTTCTTCTTCAGTAACAAGATTGCATCGGAGAGTCAGTCAGCGCCACGTGTTGCCATTATGGCAAGTGCGGGATAACTGAGGTGCTGACTAGCTCTCCCGCGTTTAAATGCACATATATACCGTAAAAATGAAAGGGAGATAGCCGCCATGGTAGCTCAGTTAGTGAAGCATCAGGCGTGATATTCGAAGGCTGCAGGTTCCGTCTCTGCCCACGACAAGTAATCTTTTCATTCATTTTTATTTCTTCCTGATTACAGCACAATAACTTCAATATTAACTGCTATACTTTTCTTGGCAGAATTGTCTGTTAGTTCTCATTGTTTTAAACTTGGGTATCCAATGCCAGCCGTGGTTGCCGACCATCCGTTCCTCGCATGCCGAAATGCCTTTCGCGTTGTAATCATTACATAAAAGTAGATCTGTGCGGAACCAGCATTAATAGGCGAAAAACATAATGCCCTCGGGCCGAAGGTATGTAGATCATCGTCATCGCGTCAAGGTATAGGATGCTCGTCTCGGCCGATATTCGCAAGTCTAAGAGGGCGAGCGAGTATATATCGCATGTCCTATTTGCATGGTGTCGTGCGCGCAGTGTCACCGAAGCACCTCGTGGCTTCGCCTTGACACAAAAGCGGCCTCTGGATCCGCCTCAGCCGAGCGAGAGAAGAGGAACCGAAACCTTGACCCGAAGCACCCGACTCACATCCTTTAAAACAAAAACCACAAAAGATGTAACAGGGCGTGAGAAAGAGCTCGATCGAATTGGGAGATGTTGAAACAGGCTACAGCTTGCTCCCGTTCATGCGGGTAGAGCAACGACTTAAAACAGGAAAGTGAAAGCGCTTTGCCAACCACCGTGGAAGATACTTCACTATCCAAGAGTAATTCTTTTTTTCAGTGGTTACAACAGCTCGTGGGTATTGCGTGCCAAAGCCATGGTACGATTACACCGTAGAGGTGATTCCGGATCAGTTGTTACCACTTGGGGTGCTTCAACGTATACGGGTGTCTTCGCCCGGAAGTATCGAAGTGCCGTGGCTGGGAATCGAACCCGTATCCTCCAGCTTTGCACTCAGATACCTCGCAAAGTTACCACCACAGGTATCTTTTAATATGGCTTCAAGGGTGAGGATGAAGACTTCTACTTGAGGTCTCCCCATTGACGCCTTCTTCATGCATTACTCCAAGCAGTTGCCGGTGGTTCACCTATTACGTAACGCCTTTTCAAGCATCAAAAAGCAAACAGAACGAGAAAGTGATCATCATGTAAATGTACTGCCGCACACAGCAACACGCCTAATCGATACCTGTAATCATGAGTAGAGGTGGAGAAAATGCGTGGTGATATAGTGACAGCGGAACTTAGAAGAACAATACCGTTGTGTGGTTTTTAACGTATTCCTCCGGTGCGATACGGAGGGTGTGGCGACACTGCACTATCGCTTGTCTTCAAAAGGCACTACTTTCCCAAATAGTGTCAAGCCATTGTTAACACTAATGTCTCTCACCGAACCTTTCTACGAGATAGCCAGCTTGCGCAGTATTGCATCACGCCCGTGATGTGCGTGGGCTGGTCGAGAATGATGGGAACATAGGAAGAAAAAATTTCGTTTTAGTACAGTAGACAACATTACTAAGTAATAAAATAAACTGGCCATTGAGACTCATCACTTTGTTCGGCAGGTGCTCGCACACTGCGGGTCTCGGCCAGGAGTAGGCGACTTCTCCTGCGATGGCTGCTCGACTTACTTAGCACTAAATCACGTCCCTTCCAGTGAATCCCGAACTTTGGTGAGTGATATCAGGTTCGCCCATTTGGTAGCTCCAACTAGATGGCATCGCTTTCTACCCAGTGGAGACCAACGGCCGTGTAGCCAAAGCCAGAATGACGCTCCTTGTGGCGTCGATTCACTGTTGCACAAGCACGCACCCGAAGATACCAATGCAAGCTTGCACCATGTTGCACCACGGTGGGGCCAGCGCCCCTCGGTTGGTGAACGTGGAACCTTAATCAACTGGACTCCGGCGCGGAGGCGTCGTCACCCAGGGGATGACGCAGAGTGCCGACCTCTGGTTATATATCGCGCTTATGCGCTGGAAAATCGAGAACTGAAATGGTGCGCAGTCCGTATCTAAAAACAGATTGCAAAAGCCTATGGTGCAGCCTAACTGACACATTCATATTAGCACCTCTAAAGCTCACGTTAACAACTATGTGCAGGGTTTTACTTGACAAACTCACAAAATATGATTATGATGGATGCCATATCAAGGAAAATTTGATTATCTGGTGTTCAATAACGTGCACTGACACCGCATAACATACGTGTTCGACCACCGAGGACACGAACGAACTATTGAAGTCAG